AAATTGTTTATACAGTTTTCAAAAAACATGAGACAATGTCTGGCAGATAGTAATACAGTCTAGAGATTTGCAACTGCCAAAGGTCACGATCACCTGCAGGCTGGAGAATAAAAGGTGGGGTAGCAGAGCTGCAGCAAAAGTGACAGACAACCTGCATCTTTACTGCTTCCCACCAGCTGAATCCATCTGAGATGCAGTGATACAGGAGATTGGAATATTCCTCAATTAATGGCTGGGTCCTTGATATTTGTGAAACCCCTGGAGTGTGAGGGTTGGATTTGTGGGTAAATAGTCCTAGCCTTTGTAGAACAGAAGCACAATTCATTCTTCTCACTCTTATTGTATCATTACCTTTGTAAGATAAATGATCTCCTATGGGTTTTCATCTTCATAATCAACACCATGCAAAGTGTCAACTCAATGTAAATCAAGAAACATGAGAGTATTTTGACTTTTCAAGTTCTGAATAGAGATTCTGTTCTATAAGACCTTTCTCAAGCCAGGTAAACAGATTTCTCTGGGAATTACTTCAGGATTAATGTACTATTGAAGCCTACTTATATTTTCAGAACCTTACTCATTCAAGTGAGATTAATGCCTTTCTTCTAACACTACTTTTGCCATGAAAAGCAGGGGTGACTCTCTTTTATATGTGGTTGTGCATGTTTCATGTTTTGGTGGCTTCTACTGGAGCATGAGAGCCCCGTGAGTGGGATATGAGCATTCCAGGGAGTGTTTATTTATTGAATATAACCTGCAACCAAGAAAATTTATTCTTGTTTTTAATCATATGAAAGGACATCAATATGCCAAATACACAAAATTAACTCTACAACACTTCTTCACACTATTGGTAGAAAAGAAGCTCAGGTTCAGTCTTAACAGGACATGAGACCACATGTATTAGATCCCCCACCCAATGGTACCCTAACCGTGGTTTAATATTTTCAGAAGGATGTTCTGTGTCTTGCTTCAGTTTTGTTTTTCAAGATGCTTCAGAATCTTTAGTAAATTTCTTTTTGGTGTTTTTATTTTTATTATCTTATTATTGTGCTGGGGGTACATTGTGACATTTACAAAAGTTCTTACAATATATCATACATGAATGCATCCCCTTCATCATTCTCCTTTACCTTCCCCTTCCCCCATTCCTGGAATAGTTTCAACATGTCTCATTTTTCTATTTTCATACATAAGTACATAATATTTCTTTTTTCATTATTTATTAAGAATTACCTGACATTAAGCCAGACTTCAAAAGATAAATACTGCATGTTTTTTCTCATATGGAGAAGCTCCATCTAAAGAAAAAATGGATATGGACATAAATAGGGGATGAAATACATGGAGATGTGGGAGGTCAAAAGGGAAAAAAGAGGACAGAGGAAGAGAGAATGTGATTGAAGTACATTGTATGCGTGTATGAAAGGGTCATAATGAAAGGCATTAAAAATGCAAGAAAGATAAAATCAAGGTAGTGGAAACATTTCAAAGTAAGTTGCAACACCAATACACTTCCTTCTAGATATTTCTGCATTTATATATAATATTCCTTAAGTCAATATTTTGTATGGTTTTTTAGTTTCTTTCGAACATAATGTAAAAATCTTACATGCATAATAGATAAATTTTTATAAAAGCATTAGTTTTGTTGTCAAATATGCTAATGACATTTTCTAGGGAAAGATGGAGGCATATTCAAACTGTCAGATGGATCAATTTTTGAATGGTTGCAAGAATAGTTGCTATCTTTATGGATCTGTATAATGAATAGTGCTGAGAATAATATCTCAAAATTGCTCAATTTTTTTTGAGACATTTTGTTGATTTGTTAATAAAATGTGGGTATGTGTTTGAAAGACATCCTTTTGATTATGCAATAATGGGAGTATATTTAAAACATACTTGGTCATTTCTACAACCATGTGTATGAGTCTCTGCCTATTCCCAATATTATACTAATAATATAAATTAATCTTTTTACTCAATGTAAAAATACCAGATTTTGCATGCTTTTGATGTGGCAAAATATCTGATTAATGGCTAGAGCATTGGTCAGTTGTATAGCATATTTGTGTTTGTTGGCATGGGTGTAAATTTGAAAGAAGCAATGAAAATATCCGTAACTAAATACCTCAATGTGTCTGAGTGTATACCTGAGGGAGTCTCAAGTTTTCTATGAACATATATGTTGTTGGCATTGTATGTGGTGTGATTGCAATCCTGATCAACAAGGGCTAAAATAAGGATATGGATGATGACATCATGGATAATAAGTCCAAGAACAGGATTCTCCTGGAAACAATTCTCTTATGGCTCAGTTCCCTATTTGTTGATGCCCCCTCCCAATTATTTCAACACCCTCTCTTACCACCATATACAAATGAGTCTTGGGATTTGGGATCATTCATAAATTCATGTCATAGGAGAAGGTGCTGGTGCCACTCTGCTGGCTGGACTCATAATACAGTACATCCAGCTACAGGGAAAAGGAGGGTCTTCCATTCAGTGAGTGCTCCCTTCCTCACCCAGCCCAACTGGGCTCTTTGTCAGGACCTTATCCCAAACTGTAACATTTGTACTGAAATTCCAAGAAAACTCCAACTCTCCCATCTCACCCCTAAACATGAGCCAAAACTATCTCTTTCCAAATCCCAGTATAACAGAAATGGTGACATGTTCCATCCTGCATCAAAACCATAATATCAAAACACCTACCTTTAAGTTAAGGTGCTGATGACATCAGATTAAATTTTTTCTTGAGGGCAGTTTATACTTCTTATGCTAACTTCCTAGAGTTTAAATTATGATCTCCTATTCTTGGCTCTTGGGTGAACAGATGGACAAAAATCACATAAACTAATAAAGTCATACATTCATGTGTTGTTTAATTTTAGTTGGATTTTCAGTATTGAATATGTCATGTGAGTATAATTTATGGGGATGTTCTGGTGAGTTTGTTGATGAATTTGTTACATTGTGTACGTGTGTGTGCTTACAAAAAAGTGTGCAGAAGAATGTGGATGTGGAGAAATACTGAGAAATACTTAAAAATACTCATAGTACCAATGAGTAGCCATGTGTTTTCCTAAATTCTGTGGTACATACTGTTATGTGTATAAATAGACATAATGTGTATTTATATCACATATGTGGGTGTAAGGGAGTGCTTATGAATCTGGAAGGATGTGTGTGTAAATAAAGTATAAAATGCCTATTTTCTGACATTTTAGAGGGACTGTGTGTATGTGCATACACATAGATGCTATCTTTCCATCTTCCTGACTTTTTCTCCTATAGTGATTCTTTTTAAGAATGTTTGAGGCACACCCTCATGGAAAAAGCAAAAACAAAAAAGGTTGTTGGGTGGCAGTGGGGCATTGTCCTTCATGGGGGGAGAAGTTTTTATAGTTGCTTTCCAGATGGGACAATCTGGCATGTAGATAAAATGTTACCTTTCTTGAGTACCTCTCTCACGAAAGATGTTTGCACATCAGCACAGAGAGGTGAGATAAGTCCTATTTTTCCAGGACTGATAAAAAAAATCAAAACAAAATAAATCACCCCCAAAACAGATCTGGCTGGGAGCTCAAAAATAAGAATGTTTTCATAAGTTTAAAGACAAAGAGGTTTCTCGTCACCATAGATAAAATTTTGTTGTTGTTGTTGGAGAGATACAATACAACAAAATGAGCAACAATAAGAGGTAAGGTCAATAAGACTGAATCCCTGACACTGAGAATCTCAGATCATGTTGGGAAATCAGATAAATAAACAGATAAATTACAAACTCCCTTTCTTGATGTCAGGAAAAATGGTGTTTCAAGAAATTTGAGTAAGAATTGGAAAAGGAATGTGGTTTAGAAGCTAGAGAGGGTAGGTTATAGTGAAAATTTGTATGATGAGATGGTTTTGCAAATGCTTAATTGGCTGAAGGGAAAGAGGCATAAAAGGAATGAGATTACAGGTACCATAAAATGGACTGAGGGAATAGGTCTCTGAGGAAGGTGACAAGACATGGAATTTTGAAGCTAGAAGGCCTGTCTTTGGAGAAGGAAAAATTTCTCTTTCTCAGAAAGCTAGGGATAAAAATGGATTAAGATGTGAGTAAGTTTAACATTTAAGTAGTGGTAAGAAATAATTTTCTCCTTTTTTATTACAGTTAATCACTTGCTTCTTTGATTTTGTCCACCTGCACACTTGAGAATTTATCGAAGCTTGAGATTTGCTATGTAAATATAAAATAAAGGAAAAGGAAAGATGAAGACACCAGTTTTACAGGGAGTAGGTCAGAAAAAAAAGCAAGAAGGAAGGGTTGATATGTAAATAAACCAGAAAAAAGTAGAGGAAGTTGTGGAGACTCAAGAGCTAGTGTGCAGGTATCAGGAGGCAAGAGAGCTGGAATGTAGAATCCTAGGATTTAAATATGGAAAACTGGAATTTAAGTTTTCAGAGTAGAATTGTTTATACTGATGACAAGTTCAGGGTTGAACATGGGATTGGGGGGCTGTGTAAAGTCTATTGAAACCACAGTATTACGACTGCATGCACCCCATCTGTGGTATCTACTTCAGAGTTCCCAAAGACATAAGCAATTCTCCTATTTCTGATCTGGCTTAATTTCTATTTTTCTCCCAAATTCTCACAATATGTCTTTTGGGGGTAGATAGAGAAGTGAAGGGATGCTGAAGTTTTGGTGAAGATTAGAGTACTTAACTTATGTTGTCTCCTATCTTGTTGCCTTGCCATGTAATAGGTATTCATTTGATTCCACCATTGCATTGAGAATATACTGGGCTTTGTGGAATAGAAATGAGTAGAATTCAGTTCCTTCCTCAATGAACTCAGAGTTTCTAAAGGGGGAACCAGAAACATAATCATATATTTTCAGTCTCTGAATATGTGTGTTGGAGAAAGGATATCTGCAAGAAAGAAAGTGAAGAACTCCCTAACAACCTTTTTTGACCCATTCTTCATCTTTTTTCTCCCACCAGCCCATCATGCTGGGCTTCAATGGCACTCCTTTCTAGCCATCCACACTCCAGCTGACAGGCATTCCTAGGATGCAAACAGGCCAAGCCTGGTTTGCCTTAATTTTTTGCATCCTCTACTCGATCTCCATTTTAGGCAACCTCAGTATCCTCACTCTGGTGGTTTGGGATCCTGCTCGGCACCAGCCCATGTACTACTTCCTCTCTATGCTCTCTCTCAGTGATCTTGGAGTGTCCCTTTCTACACTTCCCACTGTGCTTGCTACCTTTTGTTTCAACTACCGCCATGTTGACTTTGATGCCTGTTTAGCACAGATGTTCTTCATTCACACTTACTCTTTCATGGAATCTGGCATACTTCTCGCCATGCTTTGATCGTTTTGTGGCTATATGTGACCTACTACACTATGCCACCGTGCTTACCAACAGCCGAATCTTGGCCATGGGCTTAGGTATTCTCACCAGGAGTTTTACCACTCTCTTTCCTTTCCCTTTTCTGGTGAAAAGACTGCCTTTCTGCAAGGGCAATGTTTTGCATCACTCATATTGCCTCCATCCAGATCTCATGAAAGTAGCGTGTGGAGACATTCATGTTAACAACATCTATGGACTCTTTGTGGTCATTTTAACCTATGGTGTGGACTCAGTTTTTATCCTTTTATCCTATGCATTGATCTTGAGAGCTGTGTTGGCAATTGCATCCCAGGAGCAGAGAATTAAGGCACTCAGTACATGTATGTTGCACATCTGTGCAGTTCTGGCCTTTTATGTGCCCATAATTGCTGTCTCTCTGATCCATCGCTTCTGGAAAAGTGCCCCAACTGTTGTCCATGTCATGATGTCCAATGTCTACTTGTTTATACCTCCCATGCTCAACCCCATCATATATAGTGTGAAGACCAAGGAGATCCGCAGAGGGATCCTCAAAATCTTCCATAAATCCCAGACCTAGGAAAGCTGCAGACACTGAGAAAGCTTCTTTGGAGGAAGCACTGTGACTTGTCTGCCAACTTTAGGAATTCTAAAACAAGGATGAAGAGAACCCAGGCTCTTGAAGGTTGTGAATTTGTAAGCAATAAAAGATTATTTACAAAAGAGGGTGTGGAATGTTGTGGTGATTGTGATCAAAGTACATTATATATCTGAATCCCATTATTTTTACAGTTAATATACACTAATAAAAAGAATTGAAAATAAAGTGTTATCTCTACAGTAAGACATGTCTAAACAATAAAATGATGTATGTATTTATTGAACATCTACTGTATGAAAATCCTTGTGCTAGTTGCTAAGAATGTTATAATGGTAACTATAATATACTGTTAAATAAATAGGTTTATATGTCAAGGGAAATATGTAGAAAAGAGCCACAGATGCCCTGAAAAATGTTTATCATATTTGGGAATAATGGAAGTTCAGCAAGGAAAATAGGCTTGAATAAAAATAATTCTACTGTCACCCAGAAATGAGGTGGTAGATTTAAAGTAAGACAAAGTGCTAGGAAGTCTTTGTATTTTCATGCAAGAGAGACAATCTCTTGGATTTATGGAAATAAGAACAGGTTATGTTGTGTGGTTATGAAGCAGCTGTGAAAGATGAGAGAGGATAGATCAAGTACTTAGCTAGGATGGCAGGGAGAAAGGAGGGTGGTATTCTGTGCAGATGTAACTTCCTTAGAACAAGTATTTAGCCTGAAGAGTTTAGAAGCTTAACACTCCAAGTATTGTCCAAAGAGTAATAGCATTGGCATATCTTCTAGCTTCTTAGAGAAGCAGAATCTTTTAAGTGCCACATTTATCCTTCTGAATGAGAGCTGTGTTTAATAAGAACCTAAAAGATCAAAACTTGAGAAGCATAGTGCTTCTCTTATCTAATACTGCCAGGTATTAAATGTTTGTCTGTCTGCAGTGCAAAAAGAGAAAAAAAATACAGGAGCAACAAGAGTTCGAAAAACTGTTTCTCAATTTTTGATTCTCAGAACAGTAGTATTGGTGGCACTTGGAAATTTGTTAAGTATGCAAATTCTGAGGACTTCTTTCATACTTCCTGTACATTAATTAAAGTGAGTAGAATCATGCTTAAATATATCATGCTTAAATCAGTCTAACCTCTCCACTACATTTCCTCACCCTTTCTTCCCCACTGCAGTTTTCAGTATGTCTTGTTCCTACACAGATATGATGTATTTCATTATTATGCAGTCTCTCATTCTTTCCTTCTATTCCTTCCCCCTTAGCCTCCTCTAACAGCTGCAATTTTGGAACTATGTTGTATATATATTTATGCATATATATGGTAATGGTTGTATTGAATGGGATCTATCTTCCACATAGGAGAGAAAACATGTGACCTTTGTCTTTTCCAACCTAGCTAACTTCACTTAACATGTTATCTAGTTTCATCCATTTACCTGTGGACAGCAAAATTTTATTCTTCTTTATAGCTGAATATAATTCTATTGTGTACATATGCCACCATAAATCATAGGGCATCTGGACTGTTTTAATAGCTTGGCTATAGGGAATAATGTGCAATAAACATGGGTGTGCAAATGTCTTTATTGTATTCTGGCTTACGAGTGGTATTGCTGGATCATATGGTAGTTATATTGTATTTTTAGATTTTGAGGAGTCTCCATACAGTTTTCTACAGTGGTTGTACCAATTTACATTCCCGCCAACAGTGCTTGAGGGTTCCTTTCTCCTCCATATCCACATCAGTGTTTGTTGCTATTTGTGTTCTTGATGATAGTCCTTCTAAGGAGTGAGGTGGAATCTTAATGTGGTTTTGATTTGCATTTCTTTTATGGCCAGGGATACTGAGCATTGTTTTCATTGTTTTTGGCCATTTGTACTTCTTCCTTTGAAAAAGCTCATTTCATTTACCCATTTGTTCATTGGGTCATTGATTCTTTGAGACTTTAGTTGTTTGAGTTCACTGTAAATTCTATTAATCCCTCGTCAGACAGATATTAGCTCGGTTCTTCATTATGTTTTCTGATTACCTCCTATGTGATTCTGCATAAAAGATGACATTAGTAGTCAGATGAGAGACACCAAAGACTACTTAGATTGGTCAGTCCTAAATCTCAAAGCATTGCAGTTCTGAAGCGACACACTTTCCACAGACTTAACTCTAAGACCAAAATATCTGTGATCAATGGAAACACTGAGGTGTAGCCACTGACTCACTGAGAATCACAGTACCTATGAGTACTGTACTGTCTGGGAAAGACTAGAAATTCTTCCTAAAGTGGCAGTGCTGCATTGTATGTCTTCAGAGAATGTCTGGTTGTTGACATCCCTAGGGCTTCTTGGCTTCCTTGCTCTTCCTCTGCCATCAGAGAGGACTTTGAACGTATGGTCTCAACTTACTTTGTTAGAGGTTGGAAAGGAAATAGAAGAGAAGACATCAAAAAGTATGTCTTCCAGCACCAGGGACAAATATTGTAACCTATTCCAAGGCCCTTTTCCCTGAAACAAGCCTGGGTCCTGTGTGACTTCAGTTGCATAAAGGTTCTGGGTTCCAGAAGCAAATGAAAGTGAGGCCAACCTTGGAGTCATGTACTACCTGCACCATTTTTTGCCTGTGTTACTGAAGTCCTCCCAAAAAGCAGGGTTCTCTCTAATGATGAAACATGTCTGTCAAGCCCAAACCCATCTAGCTTTCTTTATCTTCAACTGCTGTGAGACAATGAACATGAAAGTATTTCTAAAATGTCTGCATGATAGTGTATAAACAATGTAGTCATCTTCACAGAGAAATGGTTGTAGGAATTAAGAAATATGTAGTAGCAGGATAAGAGAAGCTGGGAGTAAATACAATACATTAGGGTTAAAATAAAAGGTCTGGTGTGAATAAGTGGATAAATAAAGAGGATAACTACAAGTGTTTAGGTACAAGTGCTATGCTAATAAACAAATCTGTGTGCACACCTGTGCATGCTTGCATTTGTAAATGGTGCCTATAAATCAGTGTGAAATGACAGTGAGAGTATGACAAGAAGTACATAGTAAAGAGTGGGAGGGACAAGAAAGACTTTGGGAAGAGATTTGCATGATAAGAGTAGGTTCTGAGAGTGAGTATGGGTGGGCAAGTATATCCCTTCTTTTCTGGCTTCTTAACACCAGTAAGTACAGATCTTAGAATTTTCCAAGTCAAATGATAAGAGACTGAGAAGTTCCCTGAGTTCTTCCTGCCATGGGATTGTTCAACGTAACTCAGCCTTCTTCTTTCCTCCTGACTGGTATCCTTGATCTGGAGAACCTTTACCCTTGACTGGCAGGACTCTGCATTTTTTATGCTGTGGCCCTTGGGGGAAACCCAGTGATTCTTTAGGCTCCATGCATCCATGTACTACTTCCAGTCCATGTTGTCTTTCAGTGATGTGGCCATGTCCCTGGCCACACTGCCCACTGTTCTCAGAACCTTCTGTTTCAATGCCCATGACATCGCTTTTGATGCCTGCCTAGCCCAGATGTTTCTCATTCATTTCTTCTCCATGATGGAGTCTGGTATCCTATTGACCATGAGCTTTGACCGCTATGTGGCTATTTGTGATCCCTTGCGCTATGCCACTGTGCTCACAAATGATATCATTGCTAGAACGGGGTTAGCTGTGACTGCTCGGAGCTTCATCACCCTCTTCCCTCTTCCCTTCCTTATCAAGAGGCTGCCTATCTGCAGATCCAATGTTCTTTCCGACTCCTATTGCCTGCATCCAGATATGATGAAGCTAGCCTGTGCTGATATCACCATCAACAGCATCTATGGACTCTTTGTTCTTGTTTCCACTTTTGGTATGGACTTGTTTTTTATCTTTCTCTCCTATGTGCTCATTCTGCGTTCTGTTATGGCCATTGCCTCCCACGAGGAAGGCCCCAAAGCTCTCAATGCATGTGTGTCACATATCCCGGCTGTGCTCACATTTTATGTGCCACTGATTGGAGTCTCCACAGCGCACCACTTTGGGAAGCATGCACCATGCACCTACGTGTCCTCATGTTCCATGTATACCTCTTTGTACCTCCTGTGCTCAACCCTCTCATCTATAGTGCCAAAACAAAGGAGATCTGTCAAGCCATCTCTGCATGTTTCATCACATCAAATGTGACTTCGACCTTCACTATGGGATCTGATGTTTATTGTGTCCACAGGCTGTCATCAGTGGTGAGATTTATTTTATCGTCTTCATGAGATCAATCACCAGTTGCTTTAGTTTCACCAAGTGAAATCTTATTCATGGTCAGAGCTCTTTACAAAATATATGAAAAAAAATGACCCATAAAAACTGATAGTTGTTGACCTTTTGAAGTATTTCCATGTTCATTTCTATTTCTTCTGCCTTCTTTCTGTTTCTTTTATCTTCATTCCACTCAGTCCTTCTCCAAAGAAAGCAATGTTAAACATCTGAATCAAACACTTTTTGATTGGGAGCAGAATTGTGCTAACTGAATGATTTTTATTTCTCTTCCTTCACAGGATTATAATTTTATTTTGCATAATGGAAGAAATGAGGAGAGTCAGAATTGATGTCTTTGTCAGATTTTCAGCTCCAATCTGCCTAACAGGAAGAATAGAGCACTTATGATTTAGACACTAGAAAATATTTATTTTTGCCTTTCTCTTAGAGTGATTTTCCTACTATACCTTTTTCTTCAATATCACAGAGGTAAAATACAATAACTAATTCCTCAGCCTAATTTTAAAGATCTAAGAATAAGTTTAGACTTACTTCCAGATGAAAAACATTAAAAATTTGTTGCCCTGTGGAGTCTAGGAAAATTGCCCTGGAGGCCTTATAGCAACAGACCATGTATTTTATTTTATTTATTTTTTATTTTTTTACTGGTGGTACACGGTGGCATTTACAAAAATTCTTATAATATATCAAATATATCGCAGTTGATCTTACACTCTCCATCATCCTTCTTTCTTTATTTATTTTTTTCA